GACTGTCTTTGGTAGGTAACTGCCTACACCCAAATGGGTCGAACACCACTGGTCACGGCTTCTCACTAGAACTCCGAGAATCTTCTAATGAAGTCAGCCACTAGTCAGACCATTTTTTGATTTGATTGTAGAATGTCATGATATCAGTGAAACACAACAATCTCTATAACTCTGTAATGAAAATCCTTCTTAAGTTGTGAATACGTATCACATACGATATAAAACAAAGCCAGTGTTATTCGTCATTTGCACTTCAATCGATTAGGTCGTTACTCGCCACTTCAGATCATAGAGATAATGTTAGACAGTTTTCCAAATTGTTGTTAGTAAACATTCAAAAACAATATGGACGTACACACTCCATAACTGAAAAATCATCTTACCACAATCCATGAATAGTGAAATCATTCAATCCTCTCGGTAGAATACACTAAAACAGAGAAATTGAAATGATTAATAGAAATGATAGTCACTTGAACAAAGAAATTTCTGTAATATATGTAATATATGCTTGCTTTTGTCAAAGTATGAGCATGAAGTGAATTGTTTCATTCAGTTGTTGAAAATTAATTGACATCCATCATACATTTGGAATCGTTCATGTCGAATGTAGTCGAATTGAACACTGTAAGTGCGATTGCATGTATAGTGACATGATCGATATCAAATTATTTTTACGCAATCTGTTAGAATGGCACATCGAGTTCATCTGCTTTGAAGTGACAATCACAAGATCGAAATTTCAGTTTAAATGAACAAACTGATGTGCGTACGATGTGTAGCTTGTGTCTTGTGTTTGCTAGAAGGACCGAACACAGCGGACTGATCAGTACGCTACACAGTGGTGAGTTTTCGATCAGTCAACTTATTACTTACGCATGTTTTAATACACAAACAACCATGAATATTATTAATTCAATTCACTAATCAAGCATTAATCAAGATGGTTAACAGGAATGAGAAATGAACACTATATGAAGTTTATAAAATGAATATTACTCCGTAAGAATTGCAGTAGGTCGGTGGCCAAGTCAGTGAAAATACGTAGTAGTCCCATGTAATTTGACTGTATCCCACATGTAGGATTGTAATGAATGCTAACAAATTGACATACAGTGATCTACAGATAGAACACAAATGATATAATTGCATGAATGTATTTATCTCCAATAAAAATGAAAACAGTAAAGAAAATCAAATTACTCGTATATTTGATAAAATAACAACAAACCACTCATTAGTTCATTGATGAGTAAGTTAGTTTTTCACAACTACCATTGTATAGTTTGCAGAATACATATTCTTGACACTACTTTGAATGTCTCTTACTCCAGTAGACGATTCTAATGAATAAACTGTTTTCATATTAATTTCACAGATTGTGAGATGTCACGAATTTTCATTTCGATCAACTAAACTGACATGAAGTGAAGGACAATCCATCACATTGTACTCTGCGAAAACTTCATTCATTGAACAGATACATATTTCTAACTATACATTTGATAGATATTCCTTCTACAAATCACTGAATTCGATTACACACAGTCGATAAAATAATGGCCAAACAATATTAGACTGTACTGTTTTATAGGGAGAGGGGATTCATTTGAAAACTGAGGAAGGGTTGATCATTGTTAACTGATTCACGCAAAATCAAATTTTTTAATCAAGCGAAGTAAACAATATGTCAACTCACAATGCCCTCATCACCGCTTAGTTGGTAATTTGGTTAGTGTGCTGCTATTAATCAGTGTATAGTGTTTCAAGACACCGTTATATATATACTGGCAATCACTTTAATATCAGGCTCAAAGTTTTCTGTTTCACCGTAATCTCTGTCACCATCTCAAATTCCATGAATGTGATGGACGCTGATGTTACAACCTACTAAAGATTAAACATCATTTTCTAATACTTTCAATGAAGAAAAAGTAGAAAATGCTCATTAGATGCTTTTACCTTAGTTCGTGAATGTTTTTAATCGGATTTAATTCATCGACTCATCAACTGTCCGATAATCAACGATCACGTACTTGACGATTATCGAGATGTCCTGATCATTAATTTTGCTGTCTCTGCAAGTTTTCTCATCAGTTCAAACTATAATACATGCTTTATTTGGATTATCAGCTGTAATCTGACAGTAATACATTAATCTTCATTAATCATTGATCATTTCTTCACACATCAAATAATTTTTCTATATGGTTTCGATCAACTAACTATTTTTGCTGAGAATTATTATGAGGAATTGTCTCTGATAAAATGTCGTTTGATTTCTCAATATTTTTAGAAATGATCGACTTCAACAA